TACATTGTTTGGCAATCTTGCTTTCATAGTTTGATCAAAGGTATCAAGGCCAAGATTGAGTGGCTTTTTATATGGTCGCAGTCTCCTTTCGTTGTTTGACCTTGCTTTCGCAACTAGGTCATATTGGTAAGAAGAGTCATAGCAACGCACCTAGTTCAGAGTCCATAGTATGCATGCTAATTTCCAGAGTATGACCGTAGACGTGGTACATTCCCAGACGTTTCGCCAGCATCGCAATTGGCACCGTCCGTGAGGTTTGCCAGTCTTAGCACCGCAAATGAAGTCGATCCATTGACCAATTGTCTGCTAAACAATAATCATATTTCTCCTTCTGCCCTGGGCTATTCACCAATCCTATATCCTCGTTTCACACCTTCACTACCACAATTTATTAATTGCTTATTTAAATGTGCCATAGTGCGCCATTTGGAGTGGATTTCATGAGTACATTTCCAACCGTACGCTGGCTTTCTCACCGCCTAACCCCCTTTAAACCTTGTTCTAGGAATGTGGATCAGAGACTTCCATATTACTCCGCAATCCTCTTCCCAAAGGTCTTATTAGAGTCTCCCTCTTGCCCGTAAAATCCGCGGTATACCTATCAGATTCAGGTACTTCACTCGACCCCTGCCACCCTATTTGTACTACTCGAAGCGTTCTTTCCCATACTGTCTCAAGTCTTCGATGGTCGCATATTTCCGCCTCGCTAAGTAGGCCCTTACAAATCAGTATTCTTAAGTCGGATGGGAGACTAATTCTCATGGACAAGCCTTTGCTTCATGGACCATGCCTATGCTCAAACACGTCCACTGTTCGTCAACTAGTTTTAGTCTCTTCCGCGGCTATAATGTTTTTTCTATCCATAACGCCATGTGTATGACTTCATATTTTCAAGTCGCATGTGTGCCAACCCGCAAATGTTGTGGTTCTATTTGTTTCGATATGGTTAAATGTAGAACAACAAAATTGGCGGGCTGGCACACAAGAGACTAGGGCATAGCAATTCATAGACGTGACACTATGACTAGAAGGTCACTAGATCCGGTAAAGATCATAGACGTGATCCATGAAGCAAAGCTTTGTCTGGGCCTCCATTTAGTCTCCCGTCCATCGTGAGTATCCTCATTTTTAGGGTTCTACTCAGCGAGGTGGAAGTATGCATGCCATCAAGCAGTTGAGAAATAACGCTATGAGTAGTGCAGGGGTGGAATGAAATGCCTGAACCAGGAAGGTAGGATGCGGATGCTACGGGGCAAGAGGGAGCCTTTGCTAAGACCTATGAGGAGAGGATTGCGGAATAATATGGCCCACTCTGATCAACATTCTCAGCACAAGTGTTAAGGTGAGTAAAGGGGTCAGATAAGCAGCGTGGGGTTTGGAGAGTACTCATGAAATTCACACAAAAGGGCGCACCATACCACATTTAAGTAAGCACCTAATAGATTGTGACAGTGACGGAGTAAAATGAGTATATAGGATTGGTGATCAGCCATGGACAGAAGGAGAAATGCCACAATAGTTTGGTAGACAATTGATCAAAAGATCGACTTCTCTTGTCTCCTTGACGAGTTGTAGTGTGGTGCTAAGACTGGCAGAGCTCATTGACGATTCCGACTACGATGGCGGCGAAATGTCTGAGAATGTACTGCGTCCATGGTAAGACTCTGGATATTGTCAAAATATTAACGAAATCAAATAAATTTTATATTGGACTGTTTCAGCTTCTGTCCAGTTATACGACGCAACATTTTCTATCTCTTCGTGATTTATCCTTCCACTCTGCCAATCACTTTGAGCCTAATCGGAACGTTTAGCTCAAATTTCATCCTCTTGTAGTGAGCCTCATTTTGTATTAAAGGGTCTTCTGCTTGATCTCACCAGAAGGTCCAATTTAGTACACGAAGCTTATTCTCATTCT